ACTAAGGAACTTGAGTATCCAAGGATTTTGATATCTGCTGGAGTAGGAGGTGGTCCTCGAACTGATTAAGGGAAGAGGCATGAGATCTACACAAATTAACAAGTTATATTCAGAGCCTGCAATGTGCTGCCAGACCACAGGAAACTTACAGAACAAATCCTGCTGGGATAATTAAAAAATTATTCACCTACACCTTGAAAAGAAAACAGGAAAACTAAGTTTTTAAGTTGTACCCTACACAAAATAAACCCACTCATTCATTCCCTTTTACCAGACCACAGGAAACCTATACAACAAAGGCTGAGATTACTAATATGCCTTTAATGCTGCATACCCATACCTTTCATACTACATACCCAAACCATCAAGGAAAAATAGGGAAACAAAGTCTTTAAACTTTAATTCATAGAAACTAAGAATGACATCTAAGCTGAATTCCTTGAATATTTGGGATCTCTCTCTTTCTCTGTCTCTGAGAGGAAACCACCCTCTGTCTATTGAGCATTATTTCTTCTCTAATAAACTTTTCTTTTGTCCCTACTCTGACGTGCCCTTGAATCTTTCCTGCATGCAGTCAAGGACTCTCTCTCTCTCTCTCTCTCTCTCTCTCTCTCTCTCTCTCTCTCTCTGTGTGTGTGTGTGTGTGTGTGTGTGTGTGTGTGTAAGACGTGAGTCCCCACTTGGGGGAATTCGTCCTGTCTTGCATCAGAACCAAGACCTCTCAGATACTAAGGGATGACTGTACTTACTTCAGACCATTGTGGCGGGATTAATATAGTGCTTGGTAAAGAACAAGTGCTGGACAAATATGAAAGTTTGCCACATCACCTAGGATGCAAGCTTCCAGGTGTAAGGGACCTTGACAGCTATCTTTCTCGCATCTCCTGAAGGTGCTTAGCACAGGTTCTGCATAGAGTTATCTCCTAGGTCCTATTTTCCAGACCATTATCAAGTTTGAGGTGGCTTTGTTCAGTGAAATACTGACCTGCATCACTTCTTAGCTGAGGGCTCTGCATACCTGGAACATAACCTATAAAATGCAAATATGTTTCCAAGAGGGGAAACCTATTTAAAAAGTGTTTAGGATCCATTAGCCATCTGGGGTCTGACCTAATGGGACTCTGGCCAGGGCGATATGCTGGGAGAGAAAAGTTGGGAGAAAACAAGTCCAGCTTGGGGAGCCCTGGACCCCCAGAATGGAGTCTGCTTACCAGAGGAGATAGATCTAATAAGGAGACGGAAGGGCAGGGCTGAAAACACTCACTCCCTTCTGTCTTGAAGGCGATACTTCTCTCTATACTTCTCTCCCCTCACCCCCTCAATACACACACACACACACACACACACACACACGCACGCACGCACGCACCCCTCCCCCTGCCTTTTCCCAGGCAGCCTGGTTAGGTAGTTGCCTTTGAAGGCTCTGCGGTTAAAGTGTGAGCTGGGCTGGCTGCTGGGCTGAGCAAACAGGAAGCGGGGCACATCCTGCATGACGGCCAGGGATACGGAAGGTTCTGCCAGCAGCATGCTCCCTGGCCAGCCCCAGGTTTCTCGAGGCCTTGGAGCCTTATCTCTCACTCAGCACCCCACAGGGCTGTCCTCCTGGCCCTGATCACACCTATAGGCACCAAAGGCCAACTAGGTCCCCCACACCACTGCCAGGCACCTTCTCATGTAGTGCAATCTCAGCAGATTCCAGCTTAGCTGGGCAGCCTGTGAGGGGCTTTCAGGCTGGAAAGCACTGGCCCATGGGGAAGAAAGCTGGGGGCACCCAGCTGCGGGTGCCGATCTTTTCATGTGTCTGCCAGGCCTGCTGAGCCAATGAAGTGTAGTTTCAGTTTGTAGGAGAAGGACCTTGTCTTACCTGAGCTCACCCTGAGGGATGGATGGTTGGAGAGAGTGGGGCAGGCTGGGGGGTAGGAGGGAGGAAGTATAAGAACATCTTGGGAACAGAATTTCTCAAGTGCCACAGTGGAAAGCTTTAAAAAGATTTGTACCTTTGACTCTAGGATTCCCCTTCTGAAAACCTATCTTAAAGGAAAAATTGTGGATGTGAATATTTACCTTAAGGATGTGCAATGAAGAGTAAAAATATTAAGCCAACCTAACTTCGTTGGTAGGGGGCTGGTGAAATAATCATGGTACAGTCATACAATGGGCTACTTGGCAGTCATTAAAATCACGTAGTTGAAGAATATTTCATAGCATGAGAAAATCTTAATGATTTTCAGTGTGTTCAGTGTGATACCAACATAGTTTTTGTGAAGTGTGACTTTTTTAATTTTTAAAAGTATTAATATTAACCAATGTCATCACAATAAATTTAATTTTAAAAAATATAAAATATATTAAAACAGCTTTATTTAAGTATAATTGACCTACAATAAACCTCACATTTTTAAAGTGTACAATTTGACACGTACGTACCCATGAAACTATCACCATGACCAAGATAGTGAACATATCCATCATTCCCAAAAGGGTCCTTACACTCCCCCTGATCTCTCCCTCCTCTCCGCATCCCCACAACTACTGATCTGCTTTCTGTGAAGTATTGTTTTTAAACACACACACACACACACACACACACACACACACACACACACACACACACACACAAATGAA